GATTTATTAAGGTAATTAGTGAAATATTTTACGTACGTATTAATTGTTAATATTTTACTATTAACGCTAATTTTTATTAGCCACAAATTTCATAATTATTTCTGATATTTAACACTTTTACATAGGCTTCATTATAGTTTGAGACGATATGCAGTGCAACATGAGCAGCAAAATGCATCTAATTTAGTATTAGTGTGAACCAATGAAAAAAAAAATATTAGACCACGCGACTTGTCAATTAGGGATAAGATCGATCAGGGCCCAAAAGAATGTAGCCAACATAACCATATCGATAGTATCGATTATAAATTCGGACATGAGCGTTGGGCGTGAACAATTTAACCGTATAAGATGGCAAATTGAGAAAATTCTACGTATAAACTAAAAAATTTTAAATTTTCTTAATATATTTTTCATGCAAATAAATAATTTTTAACATATATGTTTTTAATTCCATTTGTTTATTAGCAAACTTCATTGTTCTTTGTCTGAATTTCTTGCTCATTGGTGACGAAATAAATAAATGCTTTAATTAGGTAATGAGTGTAATCGACCCTATTTGTAATTTTTATCCATGCAGGAGGGACAAGATACACCATACACATTCCGACAGGATCTTGTCCCCTTACAGCTTATACTTACAGCTACTCTTACTTACAGCCAGTTACTCTTACTTACAGCCAGCTACTCTTACTTACAGCCAGCTACTCTTACTTACAGCCAGCTACTCTTACTTACAGCTATAATACACATCATCTACAATTATCTTCTATCAGTACAATTATCATCTACAACTATCATCTTTCGACATATTGTATGCAAAAAAAAAGACCAATAAATAAAAGATAGACCCTTACATTATATTTGAGCAAAACTTTGATCACATTTATCGCGGGAAAACAGGCAATGAGTGCATAATACTGCAATAATTCAATAATAATACTGCGATAATACAGTAATAATAGCAATAATGTAATAATATAGTAAACTCAACGCATACATGCATATTTCATGCATATACATATTTAATTGGTTCAACTGAGATTTTAAGATTTATGTGTAATTAACGCATCGTAATTTTTTTTAATTTTTTGCATAACTTAGGTACGTACCCGATATGCTCGAACACTGTAGCAATTTCCGGATAACATTGTATGTATGCATGGTATTTGATAAAGCTCACATCCTAAGTTTTATTTGTGTGCAAGATGGTGTTTGATGGTGGCATTTGATGGTGTTTGATGGCGTGATCAAATGGATCAACAAAGTGAAATTCAAACTAATATCAGCTCACAAATAATAGATCGTCTATCCCATCAAATAGTTATATCATTTGGCGCATTATCTTGCGTAAGCTTATCAACTAATAAGTTATTACTGATAAGCAGATAAAAAAAAGAAGAAAAACTTTAAATATTTATGATAACCAATACAATATTATAAATGTGATAAATATTAGTGATGTTTCTTTGTTCGAATCTGTATTAGTGTTTTTTTGTTTTGATTATCAATTATTACACGCACCTGCGTCAACTGATCTAGGCAATTAATATGGACGTCACTAAACATATTATTAAAAATATTATCATAGAATAAATTATTTTAAGAATCATTTATAATTCTTTGAATTTATGATTTTTTGGGTAGTGCATATATCAAAACAAGCAAAAACATCTTGTGAAAAAAGAAGATTACTTTTATCATGTGGCTAAACGTGAGCGTTTTGTTTGTATTACAATTCTATCGCGTGGAAACATTCTTGGAATATTATAACCGGTAAATTTTAAACATATATTCCATTAATTAATATGCAAATAATATGAAAGCATATTTATACTTTAAGTTTAATTATGTTATTTACAAACCTGTACATGCTAATTAAAAAAAAAACACAAATCCATATTTAAGTAAATAACATCTTATAATAATTTATTTGTTCCATTCGAATACTCTCGTGGAGGTTCAATATATTTTGTGTAATTAATTTCTTAATAGATAAGTTGTGCATTTGAGAAACATTTTCATTCCAGAATTTTGGGTATATTCATTCCTTGGCACGTGATACATGTGTTCGTTTAAAGAATTTTTGGATCTATGCGCAAATATGCATTATTTTTTCATGTTCATGTTTCAAACATTTCTATTACTTATCTTTTTAGATTCTGAAACATGGTGCTCCCATATTGACTTGTAACCTTACAATGATTGGCTACTATGAACGATGCTTGTGATTCCTTACTTGTAAATGCTTGTTTTTTATTTTTGTTCATTTGAGGAAAGTCTTATCGTTATATTCACTATTCACTTTAATTGTTTCCTTTAATGATCATTAATCAAGCTGATGTAATCATTTGTAGTTAGACTCGTTCAATGTTTATTACTGTTTATTACTCGGGCAAATTTTCTTAAAATTTCTTGCAAGAAGGTTATTGAGTTTTGTTTTTTCAATAATATTTTTAAATTAATTTGGGTTATTTGGATTATTGGATTATTTGGAATTATTGGTTTGAATTATTATTATTTTGAACTATTGTTGAATAATTTTCTTTAAAAGGAATTATTAGTCAATCAATTAAGAAGTTTAAGTATCACATAAAGTCAAATCTAGCATTTAAAATCGCTCTCCAGTTAATTTGTTCTTCTTTTAAGGTTATTGTTATACAAGATCAACGTTTCCGGTATCTTTCTTATTTTCAATCAGTTCGCCTTCGGCAAACATCTTTTTCTCCGACGTCTATCACCAGTGATGCTGATTTAAGGTTACACGAAACCTCCAAAGTAGCATACTATAGTTCAACGTTTAAGGTGATAAGATTTGATAAAAATAGATTTAGTAATAAAAAAAAAAAATTCTTTTTTTTTTATTGTCGGTCCATTTACGCCTTAAATCATATGTTCGTGAAACAGGCAATATTCATGAGTCTGCAAATAGAATAAAAAATGATGAAATTTTTTTAAACGAGATCACGTTCTAATTAAAAAAGTTACAAAAGTACCTTATTTGCTTATTTTACCCTTTTTATTCCGCGTACGAGAAATTATGAGAAATTAGAATTCGTTAAAAATATTAATTTTAATATGAGTAATTATTTTAACATAAGTAATTAGGTCAACAAATAATCTTATACCAGTTATCGAAATTATAAAAGTAACTGACGAATGAAAAGCGAAAATGGCGTATCCTTGTTTATGTTACATTACTCTTAGAGTAATGTTCCAACTCGATAGAGCAAAAAAAAAAAGACAAAGAATTCACCATGGAATTGCGTAGTACTGAATACACAAGGTAAAATTAATTTCCATCCATTTGAATTGTCGCCGTGTGAAGTCAGAGTAAACAAATTATATTAAAATTAGTTTAAAGTAATACGGTTGATCATAAGACATCCGACCCAATGTCGAAAGCGGTCTGGATTAAATGTCAGTATTGGAATTATCGTAATAGAATTCCTAATTTTTTATGTGGCTTTTTTTTTTTAAGTACTGGTTCGAAGTAATGTTAAATGTTCAACAAATTAAAAATTCACTTATGATGTTTTGTTTTCGCGATACCAAGCTTGTTGGCGCGAATTTGAAAATACTGATTGGTTACTCAATTAAAATAGTCTTTTCTGATACATTCTACATTCCACATTCTGACTACAGAATTAAAATTTAGAAATGCATTATGTTAAGTTGTTTCAATTTCGGCATATAACGAGCATTATTAATTTAACATGATTATAGTAAGGATTCTTAAATTAGTGAACAAATGGCAATTTTTTATGTCAGATTAAAGCTGTCATGGAACATAGAATATTATACTTTAATTAGTAGTTAAATAATTTAGTAGTTAAATAATAATTTAGTAGTTAAATAATTTAATAGTTAAATAATAATTTAGTAGTTAAAAAATTTATTTAAATAAATAATTTAGATAAATAATTTAGAAATGATTGCATACATATGGTTTATCGTGGCTTAGTATTGATTTCCAACTATTTATTATTATAAATTCTGATCAAAGATCTTGCGGGCAGCATACATAGCGCGCGGTGTTGACCACGCATGCATAAATACTAACCGCAAAAATTATCGCTTGGATCAAATTCAAGATCTATCCCCGAAAATACCACATGTTTAGTTATTAAAAATCTTCGTCCAAGTAACATTCTAAAATGAGAATTCTATCACACACTATATCCTACTGTAAATGTGTACTTATATATAATTAATATATAAAATTATTTTTACTTATTTAGAAATTTGAATTTATATAAAGGCGACTTGTTTTCACTGTATCACTGTAGCACGGTGTGGGTCAATTGCGACAACCATTTTGTACAACTTCAACGTTTAAGCAATAAATGTTTCAATTCCTACATCGTTACTCATCACCATCCTATATTTTCTTTTATTATTTATATAGTAGTGCTTGATACTATTTAATGGGTTCTCTCTTCTTTTTCTGCACAACAAACGAACTCAAATTTTAATTGCTTTATAAATGCTTCTATCTGTCCATTTTTTTCAAATACAATTTATAATTATTTCTTTAAAAAGCTTTTATTTTTTTGAGTTCTATCACTTCTTAAAATCTTGATTAACGGATCATTCAGGACTATTATTTAATCGGCAAAAGAAAGCAACCTCTTTATTATAATATATATGTTAATCAAAAGTATATAATGATCTTATACCTTATTAGGTGACGTCAACTATATATATTATATATACCAAAGTCATTCGACTAACGAAAACGAATACGTGAATAATCATTTCTCTTCGTTAATATCATTTTTAATCCCATGCATTACAATCATTCAAATATTCTAAATTAGGCGCATACATTCATACTTTCATATATTTATACAATTTATCTTAGTTGAGTCTTTTCTGTTTCTCTTAGAGCAAAAAAAAAATCTTTTTTTTCCTGTTCATATAGACAAAACCTTCTGGATCCTCCTGTTAGTCAAATCTTAATTAAAAAACAAAAAAAAAAAAAACTTTTTACACTTACAATGAGTTTGTTCATATTGGACGACATGATTGTTGACGAATCCGGTGATTCCCATAAACGTGTAAAGATTACTACTGCCTGTGATACTTGTAGAAGAAGAAAAGTCAAATGTGATGGCGCTTCTCCATGCGCTAATTGTCAACGAGGAGGTTTGGTTTTCATTTTCATTTAAATTTGCTACGTGTCTTTATCAAAATGCCGTGAAGATCGAAATATTTTGATTGGAGAATTTTATTGTAATCAATATAATTAGACATGTATTGAATAAATGAGGCAAACGTTAATTGCATCAATAAAAACTTTATCACTAAGTAAATATATATATATCTATATATTATATGTACATATAATATTTAGGTTATCAATGTACCTTCTCGGATTCGTCTTCGAAACGACCTAGAGGTCCTCCTAAAGGATTTGTAGCATTGATAGAAGATAGATTACACACTATAGAATCTCTTTTGGTTAATCTCGTCAATAAAGATAATAATAATGAAATTAATAAGGAAATTAAACGAGAGAGAGAAACAACAATCGAGGAAACAACAACAAGTACACGACAAAAATTCTCTACATTTAAAATACGTCATTATTCCCCTTCATATACTATTGCACCCACAAATTCACAGCACCATTTATTCATTCCTTCAACTCCTCCTGCCGATGCGACTGGATTTTCCACATTTTCTGATTCCCAAACTTTGATCTCCTATAATGATGAACTAGCTAGTGATGATGAGGATATACTTCACCAAAACCTGGTTTCTCCAACTGATGCTAATAGTTTACAAAGTAGCACTCTTTCATTTCTTATCAACCCAAATCAATCCACTGGTGCTTCTTCATATGTCGATCCTCCATTACCAACTTCCATACCACAACTTAATAAAGCTTTGCCTGCTGATGTCACTCAATTATTATTGGAAAAATATTTTAATCATTTTCACCCATATTTTCCTATCATAAACCGTGCGAAATTTTTCAGACATTTATCGAATCCTAATGTCGAAGACCAACCTTCTCCGTTACTCCTTAATGCTATTTATTCTGTTGGCGCTTTATTCCCCCCTGCACTTCCGGACTCTTATAGTCCAAATACATTTTATGATCGGGCACGAAGTATGATTTCATATTTAACTAGAGATGTTATCGGCTCCACTTGAGCCAGCTACAGCCGCGGCTTGATACCAGAGCCGCTATCAAGCCAAGTCTTTAAAACCATGGCTTGAAACAGAGAAGTATGGCTTTCGGCCATAGCCTGAGCCAAGCTGATAAACTTTAACCATGATTTTGAAGCCGGTTTCAGACATAGCCAAATTTAAGTCCTGTAGCTTCACAATAGCTTAAGCCATAGTTAGCAACGGCTCAGCAAACTAAGCCATGACCTAAATGGCTTGGCTAACTCAAGTCATGATATATGCATGGCTTGGCTGCACCATGGCTATTTAGCCAAGCAGAACCATTCCAGCCGATTACATCTCTATATTTAACCATGAATTTTTATTTAATTTTTTTTTTTTTCATGAATATTTTTCTAATCTTTTAATAATATCGAAATTTTTCTAGGTATGTTGGACTTTTTTATCGACGCTCCTAGAGTGTCAACTGTTCAAGCATTAATACTTCTGTGTATGGTCGACCAAGGAAAACCAACTTCGTACAGACCTCAAACCTATTCTTCTATGGCTATAAGAATGGCTCAAAGTATGGGATTGAATCGAAGGAACGGACTTGTATATCAAGGCAAAGGTCGACAAACGAAAAAATTTGTATGGTGGGGTTGTTTCATTGTTGATAGACTTAATAGCCTTGCCACAGGTGATCCTTTGGCAATTAATGATAAAATGTGCGACATAGAACTTCCTTCGCCAGACGAAGTGGATGATCAAGATGAACAACAATCTCCCCAGCAACATAATTCTCATAGTTCAACGTATGCACAACAAATAAACATTTTTGTTAATTTTATAAGACTTGCTCGACTAATTGGCCAAATAATTGAGCATCTTCAATCAACTTCTTGTATTGGAATGTCTTCATCTTGGACTCATCATCTTATGGTTTCCAATTTTGAAACTTCACTCGGGGCTTGGCATCGGGAATTACCTCATTATCTGCATTATGCACCTTCACCACAACATATGCCACTTCCGGGACATATAGCTTCAATTCATATGCATCATCAGACCCTTTTTTTGATACTTCATTACCCTTACATAGCAAGTAACAATGTTAGACCATCTAACTCGCGAATGTCTAAAACCTATCAAAAATCGTTAATAGCTTGTACATCAGCAGCAAATACCATAACACATATAGGAGGTACGTTGTGATCTATTATTTTATGTCAATTAAGTCAATTAATTACCACAATAATTCTCCCAATAATTCTCCCAATAATTCTCCCAATAATTCTCCCAATAATTCTTAATAATTCTTTTTTTTTTTTAGTTGAAGCATTAAATAATATCAATGTATGCATAACATTTCCAACCATGTTTCACTGCCTAGCAAAGGCTGCAAAAGTTCATGAGATCAATGTCGCATCTTCACATCGAGGATTAGCCATAGCATCATACAGATACATTTTAAAAACGATCAAAATTTGTCAATTCTATCAACAAAATAATATAATGACTGAATTGGCTGGTCAAACTATTAAAGCATTGGAAAGTATTGTGATAAAACATCAAGAAAAGTTTACCAATGAAGATGTTTCTTCATCGTCCGCAAATATTTCTTCTACTCATATAAAAATATCACCTACCATGACGAATCAAGCATATGGAGGATCACCAACCTCAACGATAGATAGAAACACACCAACACATTCAATGATTGCACCCTTTGTTGGATATACATCATCACCTACGTCTACAAACGCCGCCACCACCAAAAGAGGATCATCATCTCCAACAAACATGCAACCGCCGCAAAATTTCCCATACCCGTCACAACCAGAAGGAACTGGTGCTCAATTTATTCCAATAAATATTGGTAATAACCAAATATTTGATCAATTTGCCACTATGCAAATGCAATCACCAACTGTCATGTCACCAACAGTCACAACTGATATGTCATCGACAGATCAATTTTGGGAAATTGGAATGAATTTTGCACCACAACCTGGTATAGTAGGATATAACAATAATTCTTATAATCAGATGACTGTAACGGGATCTTTAGCGAATTCAACTACAACGACACCATCATTTCCACCAAGTACTTCAGCATCACCTACTGATTATTTCAATTCACAGTCGATGCAACAAAGACCAAGGCAACAAACACCTACGACCACCTCATCTCCTATCAATTTCTCATCCAACACGTTTAAATCTCATACAAGAACAAATCCAATGGCCTTGGACTCTATCGAACATGAAAGTGAAACCGGAACGACAATGATGACGGAACCGTTGAGGAATGTAGGATTACAAAATGTTCATAATTCGCAGCAAAGGTATGTCTTTATGGATACGAATGACAATAATCCCTCTATTGACAATAACATCAATAATGGGTTTGTTGTTGAGGGAAGTGGTGTCTATGGTCGAATGTCTTCCTCCAATGAGACTCATCTCCGAATTTTCAACAAGATCCCACAACGTCTGAGGAAGAAAGAAGACATAAACCACTATACCGAATATTCTTCTAATAGCGATCAATCGAGAATGTCTAACGCTAATGCCATAAATGTCCTATCTCGAAGATCGAGCAGCGGCCATTGCGGAGGTTTCAAGTTCGGTAATCCCACCAGTTATCTTGAAGTCACTTCCATCGGTGTTGGCCATGGTGATGATTATGAACAATATGATAGATTATAGGTGGTTTTATAAGTTTACTTGGTAGTATTTTATATATATATATATATCATTTTTATAAAATATTATTATAATGATTTTAATATTATTATATTCATATCATATATCTATACCAATATGCTTTTATTCATCAACTTTTCATTTATTATCCAACACTGTATTTTGCATTATTTATTTTTTTATTTTTTACCATGTAGATACAACCTTATTTATTATTTATGTATTATGTTTATATACTATTATTGTTTATTATATTACTATTATTATTTATTATTATTATTATTTAGATTTGTATGAACATCAGGATCTTTTTTAAAAACAAATATTTAAACTTTATTTGCATATATAGACATGAAATTTTAAATGCCTTTTTACAATTTCTTGTATAATTTTTTATCATTCATATATATATATATTATAATGTTCATAAACAATCAACAAATCATTTAGCATTTCACTTATATATATTTAATCTTATTATAATTTAAATTAAAAAGAATCTTTTATATAAATTATTGTCATCTAAATTCAATAAAGTTTTTTTTTTTTTCTGGCATATTGTTGAGAAAAAAATTTACGATAATTGAACTTTTACTAAAAAAAAAAAAAAGCGATCACTTTTGATTCAGTATTAATTTTAAATGTATAAATGCTTTATCTTTTTGAAAAAGAGAGATGATGTTTTCATCCTCGCGTAAATTTCATCATATCTCGTGAATATTGATAGCCAGCACGCGTCTTGCTACGTGGCCGATCTACATCTTCGTGCAGCACTCATGACCATGTGTCCATTTAAAGTGACACACCACGATATATATATATAGTAATTTTTTGTTTTGATAATTATTAATTCCTTTTGTTTCTATGTACTTTTTTTATTTAATAATATGCAAAAAAAAAAAAAAAAAAAACTATTTATACGAAGAAATAATATTTCGTTCTTTAACGTTTTAATTGTGACGCTATCAAATAAATGTATTTTTATATAATTGGTGCTTGTGATGACTTTGATAAGAAATGATCATGTTACGAAATAATTATTGATATTTTTTTTTTTTTTGAAGCGAATGTTCATAGAATATGGTTATGATTTTCTAGTCATCTTTTTGGTAATTTGATGCATGATTCAATATCGATGATTGAAATTTAAATTCTATTTACATAATAAACGCACGTACATACCAAATAGCAAGAAAATTCATAAGTGCTTGCAGCATGAAAAGTCCATCTGATTTGGTTAAAATTTCTTTAGCTGCTAGATAATCTTTTTTATGAAAAATCCAATTTTTTTAGGTGACATTAAAAAATTTTTTTTTAAAGTTTCATCGGTTTTTTATTATGTAATTTATTGGCAAGAAATGGCTACGATAAATTAAATACCATATTTCACTGCATAAATCACCTGGAGTCGTCTAAACAAACCCCCTAGGGGGCCTTATAAGAAAGGAGAGTCTATTGTTAGGAAGGATCTGTATGTAAATACATGAAAATATAAAATTGAAATGTGTTATATAATATAATATATAGTATAATATACTATAGACACAGCTTTCTCACATTTTTATCTCAAATCAAACCTAGGTATCAGACCCCTGGTCTCTATTACGAGGAAATGGTTTATGTATACTAGCTCGTGTAACCTTTTCCATTGTTCGTGTAACAAAAAATAGCGCGATATGATGATAATAAAAAATTACCAGAACAGTTAATTAAAGGCGACCATGGTTTCTGACAATTTTGAAAGTGTAAAATTTGATTGAACTGCAATATAGGTGGGCAGGCCCGATAACGATATCATGCACATTAACAATTATTAGGGATGCGAAAAGTCCATTCAGGTTCTACTTGGCCCCAAAAGTCAATTGTTAGTCTGGAACTCGATTCACATCTGCACGTATATTTAATTATATAATTAAAAAATGCAACATCTGTTAATACCGATCAAATCAATTGTTATGCATGCAAATTTGCGCCAACCAACAATAATACAGTATTTGATTATCCGGAGCGACGGAAGAGAATAATTGTCCAAATTTTACACGTAGTTCTGTTCGCACCTATTTTTAGATTAGACCATCATCACCTTATCGTTGTCTAATATGCATGATTCTATTTTACCATAATTAATTTCTTGCTTCGGCATGTGATTATTTGAAACTTGGTATTTTTTAACGTTAAGATTCCTGTTTAAAAGTTAATTTAAAAGAATAAATGTATTCGTTATTTTTAATTGGCTTTGCTAAGTCGTTACGAATAAGTATGTAACATGTTACAATTAAATTCGTCCAATTTAAAAAAGTCTGAATTAAGTTAACTTAATAACTGATTTAAACTAGGATTTTAAATTTTTTATAATATATCAGTATGCCCGGAACTTAGAGGCCTGCAAGGGCCGGGCCAATATTTGAAATTTTTAAAAACCTCTTAAAATTGCGGGCCTGGTGAGGTAAAAACATAGTAAAATGCGGGCCGAACTTTTAAAAAACATAATAAATTTTATTTTGTGGGCCAAGCGGGCCGGCAAAAGTTTAAATTTTTAGATCCGTGCAGGTTCCTACCTGGAACTATCGTAAGCGTGGACTAAATGATCACACTATAGTACCTTTCACAACTATAAGTCTAGTATCACCATCCTGAAAAATTTCGCCAATTATTTTGCAATTAGTTTAGGGTTAGGGTCCTACTAGCATGTTAGTGTTTGGTTTAAAGAACTATAGTTATAGTATATTTAACAATGAAACGTTTTGTTAGTACGCAGAAGGCGCTTTCATAGACAAGCTTGATTTTTTGCATTACACATAATCTTGAAATCTATTTGGCCAACGAAATTTTTTAGATTGGTGATTTAATTGCTATTCCTTATGACTTTTGAAGGTCTTGGAATGTATTTTACCTAGCAGTGTTTGACTATGATCTATATTACCTGTATGACTAGTTATAGGTTATATAGATACAATAAAGATTATATAGCTCATATTTTGATAAATTTGAATCTAATTTAGTTATTTAATATTTACAAAAAGATTAAAATTTAAGACTTTTTTTGATCTGAACAACTTTTATTTAGATCATTATTATCAATTACTTAATATAAGTTTATTTTTTATATGTAACTACGTTATATAATTATTTTTTTAAAATAAAATTTAAATAATTATATAACGTAGCTACAAATAAAATTAAAAATTTATTAAATAAATTAATAATAATAATCTAAGTATTGTTGCTTAAAAAACAAAATTATAAATATTTTGAGATTTTGAAATACCGTATACTTCCGAAATTAAGCACCCCCGAAAATAAGCACCTCCACATTCTATATTCACCCGAAATTAAGCACCCCCCTGCCATCCACCAACCAATCCACCCAACAACCAACCAATCCACCCAACAACCAATTAACCAACCCATCAACCAACCAACCAACCCACAGTCAACCAACCAACCCACAACCAACCAACCAACCCACAACCAACCAACCAACCCACAACCAACCAACCAACCCACAACCAACCAACCAATCCACCCACCCACCCACCAACAATCAAGCATTACGCATTTACGTATATGTCAATAATAAAGTACCAAAAAAATTCAGTTATAAATTTTATTTATTTAATTTAATAGTTAGCCTTTACAATTGATTGCCTAGTATATAGTTAAATTTTTGATATATAAAAAAAAATCCTATTGATTTTGTTTAGTTTTGAAATACATTCGAATTAACTGGATGAACCAGTATACAGAAAATTTACTGAGTAATATCCAAAAAAGATGTGTTAGCACTCTTAAAAAGTATTTTATAAAGCACTCAAAAAATCTGTGTCAGGTTTTGTCAATCATCTATCACATGATTTTTTTCGGATACACAATTCTGCAATTTGTAACTCATATCTGCATATTTGTATAACTTCTTATATTTGTGCTTCCAATGAATGCATAATTTTAAAACAAAAAGCAGAATTAGGTTTTTTTACTGCAAATTTCTAATACAAGTTCACATCCCAATAGTTTATAATAATACCCAAATTATATATCATTGCTAATGTATATTTCTGACCTAATAAAACCTCAAAGCCATAAGTTTTTCTTCCAAAACCAAGCTAATTATAACAAAAATGTAAAGATGCAATAATTGTATCTTTAAATTCCAAATTCACAAGAATTGTTATTTTGATATAATATATTTAATAAGACTACAATTTTAAAGAAAAATACTATTACTCTAATAGGGTTTTTCTTGATTCATTGTATTTTAATTTGAAGATAATAAATATAAACATTATTTAATATATAAGTTTGAATAATTTATGATTGAATATTTAAAGTTTAGTTAAAACCATTGTCATAGGGGTTACTAATTTAAACATTAAGCATGCTGTACTATGTCAACTACCACAGGGGTCGAATAGGGTAAGTATCTCTAATAATATGTTCCAAGTGTATTAGAAAGCATTTGCTAATTTTCTTTATTTACACTTTACTTAAATACTCACTTTAACTATTCTATTTACATGATATTTCTTTAATTAAATTATTAATCACACCATTTTCTATAAACCTTATTATATTTCTTATGCACTGCTTACTAATTCTTGCATCACCTATTTAACTAATTTAATTCATTATTAATTTATTTCTATATGCCTCGATCATATTAATTGTCACTGTCAAGCACTCTTTCTAACGATCATTAAAAAACAAATAAAATAGAAAGAAAATTTAAAATATAGTAAATAAAGCTTAAATAAACTGAATAATATACAAGAAAACAATCACAAATGCAAAAG